ATTGTTCGATACCTGAACAGTGTTTGAACCGATATGCTGCAAACAGTGACGGACTCCGCAGAACGGGCCTAGCCATTATATATGCACTGTCGTTTCATCATACACAAAATGGCGCGCGTCGAAAGGACGGTGGACGTGGCACGTTTCTGACTGTGCGCGCTTTCTCGTAACTGCGCTGGATGTCCCATTAGGCCAGTGAATATAACGGTTGGCCTAAATACGCTTGCATTGGTGACGAAATCAGTGTAACTAGAACCGGTGAAGTCTGGACCACAAATTTTCATGTATCGAATTTATCGGGTCCGGTCGTACTAGCCCAAAAGGTACCGCCAATCCGCCTTTCTCAGATTTGCAAATCCTACCCGATCCAGTCTGGCTCAGCATAGATATGGTGGTGTCAAGTTGTGATGATTCGGGCTCACATTTTTGATGTTAACAACACAAAAAATTTCGAGGATATCAAGCCCTAAACAGGTGCATTTAAATGCAGTTTATCTGACTTGTCGGATGTTATTTTGCATCGACATGAAACAAAAAGTACCGACGTGGTAGGTAGGTAGGTGGTTTCAAGTACCATTGAAAGGGTCCCGAAACCTTCATTTTAAGGGTCAACCCCTTCCGCAAAATAGGCACCACAAACCATCATTGTGGAGTAAAGTAAACATTGCTTAATTATGCACCCAATTCCAGCGGACAATACAATGGGTCTCAGAACATACAATACACCAACTTGGTGTCCCGGCACCAATCAGGAATTGGACTACCTGTGCCGAAAAAGGACACTTTTGCCTTAGTGACATCTCCTTTTGTTGGTCCTGTGCCAGATGCCCAGGCCAGGGGGCTTACTGCATCAGGGATGAGACCCTGGCATGATGTATCCCTTTGAGGCCACCCCCCCCCCCCCCCCCTCCCGGATCGACCAGGGTACCGCGGTTCCCGTACGGCCAGAATAGCAGTAGCTAGGTACCCCGAGCTGAGACTAAAGGACCCTTCAGCTCCTGACCAGGAAAATACACATGCGATTAGATTGTGGCAAAGTTCGTACTATTGGCGTGATAGTTACCTCGCTCGCGGCAGCCTTTCTCGTGAGTCCACCAAAGAGAGATCTTGTCAAACCACAGTTTCTACTTTCTAGTCACTTACACGCACCAACACTCACACCACAACGTCCACCCACACAACCAACAGCAGTCTTGCTTCTTCGATCCCACAGAGGGTATGAACATACATGGTGACCGATCGCGCGCCTTACAACTGCACGCGTCGGAAGTGATTCACGGCCACAGGGTTGAAAAATAATGTCATAGTTTTCCCATGAGAAGCGAGTACGACATCGTACGATGGTCGGCGAAGCCAATCACAAATAAGGGTATCGCCTTGCGATCCCAGAACTTTTTGATGCAAATGAGAAGTAGTGAAGGTCTGAAGGCGACTTTTTAAAGGAAATATCGAATAGCATTACGGAAGCGGCCCTGCCGAAGACTTCGCCGTCGTCCAGCCTCAGCCCACCGCCACCGCTCCGCTGCCAACGGGCTCCGACCCTGCCGAAGACCTCCCGCCGATGATCGGCTGCCCGGTGTCAGCGCTGTCGGTCTTGCTATGGACATTAACCCAGGACAGGATGTCAATAACATCGGCCAGCCAGCGACAATGGCAACTGATCGCGAAGAATGGATACGCTGCGAGGCATTATTTGAGACCAGTCCAAGTTACGTGTGGCGATGGCAAGTGCAGGCAAAGGTGTGCTGGAAAGGTGTGACAAACGTGCAGCGCCAAAGGATTAAAGGCATGGTGGATCGCTTTGCGTGGTCAGCTCGTCGCCAGTGGTTCCGGTGCTACGTGAAGAGGAAGCAGGTCAGGAGCAAGAGGAACTACCAGAGCGTGGGGGCAGAAAAGCACGGAGCTCTTGTTTGGACGCTTCCGCATGAAAACGACCAAGCCGTTCCCGTTTTCGAGCCGTTCTTTTTGACAGCAGTGGACTTGAAGTCTAACAACGACCAGATCGTCTGGCACGCTCTAAACTATGCTAAAAAGGAGGACGAAGGAGGAAGTGAAACACCGAAGACCAAGATGGACTCGACTGTCATCCGAAATTACGTCCAGAGTTATCGGCCATGCGCACATCACTATCGGCACAATCACGCACCGAAGCTTTACAAACAGCTATTGGCATGCATAACAACCTGACTGAGAAGCGTGGGAAATAAGCTTCGAACGGTACCGAAGGGAACTAAAGCTGTTGAGTGTAAGCTTAACCAGACTTGGCAACGAGGAATTGAGAACTGTACTCGTCAATTGCGCAACGCGAAATCAGTGCATAAAGCCCCAAACAGAGCTGGCTTCGCGTACGTCGGTGGGTGCGGTCAGTGTCAGGAGCATAAGACACATTTGGTCAGGGCCAGCGAGGCTAGAGCTGACTATCGAGAGAGAGAGGCGAACAGCAGGTGCGATGACGACAGATACCTGTGCATCGCAGGCCTAATGAAGGTAACGCTGATTTCTTTCCTTCCTTACAAAACGGTCTCCTTCAGACCCCGTATTGTTGTTCATAACGAAACATTTACTGCCCTTGAGAGGAAAGGAAAAGTAAAAAGGCCGAAGAAGTCGCTGGCAGTCCTGTGGCATGAGGCAACAGCAGGTGCTGCGACGTACTGGCGCCTCCTCAGGGAACATTAAGACGAAAAGAGAATGACAATCTTCACAGGCAACTGTCAGGAGCAAAATCAGCCGTGGATTAGCCACTGTACAGACTGTCGTCCATTAGACCCCAAACGCGATGGAAAACATTGCTGCGAAATACCTGGAGAAGAGCCGCACTTCGATGGGCACCGATTCATCTCGCCGTAGGTTCAAAGAAAAACTTAAAGGCCAAGGTGTCCAAATTTCAGGACTTCCGGCGAGCAGTAGAGAATACAGATATGAAAACGGCCACGATGTACCATGCCGACCTTCGCGTGTTCCACGATGGACCATCCTCTAAAAAGCTTAACTTGCTAGGCAAGGAGGGTCTGCGACCACACCCTCAGGACGTTCGCTGTCTGCAAGTTCTTGGAGGTAGTGAACAGATGTACATCAAATAGTATCACCTCCAACAGCAATGGAAGGCGTCCAGCCTCATGAAAACTACCTTTGACCCACAAGAATATCCAGAACGTTGCACCAAACTGCGCGGAGGTAAACTGAACAAGGTGAAGATAGACAAAATCGTGGAAAGACTGCCACCACTGACGCCAGAGCACAAACACGGCTTCTGGCTTACACTGCAAAAGCAGGGCAGCGTTGGCGTGCGGTATCTGTCGGACTGATGGGTCACGCACACATGGACAGTGCGTGAGTGTGCGGTATCTGACGGACTGATCGGTCACGCACACATGGACAGTGCGTGAGTGTGCGGTATCTGGCGGACTGATGGGTCACGCACACATGGACAGTGCGTGAGTGTGCGGTATCTGGCGGACTGATGGGTCACGCACACATGGACAGTGCGCCTATGAAATTCACTGCGCAGGTCAGCTGACCTTCCGATACCTGATGTGGGTATCCACTACCCTTGCGTGTTTTTGGGCGGAGAAAGTATTCTTGAGAAAACAGATGACTTGTGATCTACTCCCAGTACATTGTGTATGTCAAAAATACATGTTCGAAGAACATGACGTGTTTAACACTGATATTACCCGCTTAATGAGGGAATCCGGGAATGCTTTTGGAGATGCGACATGAGCTTCGATTTGTAGGATGATCTCTTCAAGGTAGGTAAGGAGGATGCTGTCCACGGTGCTCCAAAAGGAAGTGCAAACACCACCCACTTTAAAGTCGGGTCAAATCTCCCCAGTTTAATCTCCCTACGCTTAAGCCTGTTGATACAGGCCATCAAATTCCAGCCTCTCTACGACGGAAATCAGTCAATTTTTAGTCACTGCTTGGAGTTATATGCCTTGCATATATTTGCGCTTGCCCTTACCTGCCCTGAAGCACCCTCCTTACCATCAAAATAAAGCGCATGTATGCACCCGTTTTTTCATTGCACACGGTGGTGAACTTGTGTTTTTCTGATAGCATCCATTGTATTTGTGTTTTTCTTACATGGCGGAAGTCACGTTAGTTGCTACAAATGTCGAAATATAAAAACCGTTCCTGAATTTCTGTGAAGTTCATGTGTTAAAGCGAGAAAAACAGCATGTAAAGCAATTCATTTCGGTGTGTCGAATTTAATGGTATATAATTCAAGTGTGTACGACAAACCAATTGTGCGATATAGCAGAAAATCAAAGAAGCTCTCCCGAAAAGCTGCAAAATGCGAACGCACTTTTTTGTGCGGCAGATTTTCGTGGATGGTGGTAACTCGCGTGTGTTTTGTGCACGAGCTCTTAGACGCCAGATCAACCCAAACGAGCGATCAACACCACAACACACGGGGTACTATCAGCCACATGGCGATCAGCACCGAAATACGCCGGGTACCGTTGGCCACGTGGCGATCAGCACCGAAATACACGGGGTACCGTTGGCCACGTGGCGATCAGCACCGAAATACACCGGGTACCGTCGGCCACATGTGCTCGCGTTGGCCCACGGCGCCAAGAGGCGTGCCACCACGTATGTTGAGCGGAAAGGAGGGCATTTAAAGCACATGGTCTGGTGAGCGCCAAGATTGAGTGAGTTCGATGATGCATATCAATACATTTCCATGCATCATGCTCTTGACTTATTTGTATGCTTTCCATTCAATTTAGGATCAGAGCCTGCGGACGAATAGATGTACATTTTTGGGACATACTCGTTTTGTTCTCAAATGTCTGGGCGCGCACTTTAAAAAGTACTGCCTGTCGTCGGGTCAGCGTGCTTGAAGTGTGCGGGCACCATCATACTGACGACAGAATGTTTGTTGCTGCTCCGAGACAACAAACCCGCGCTTTTATAATCTTCAACACAGGTGTAAGATGCAGCGCAGGTGTAAAATACAACTCAGGTAAAGAAGCAGGGCAACTAAACAGCCACCAAAAAAGCAAGCGATGTCTGTATTTGTACGGCATACGTTACATAATGAACACTCAAACCCCACACAAGCAGCTTCTTGGCCGTCCCAACTCGGGGTAACGCAGGCGTCCACCACAGGAGGCCACCAGATCAGAGCACGATCCAGAGCACAGGCCGGCTCAAGGTATTCGAGAGTGAGTACGCGCAGTGCAGCCGCAGCTGCGAAGGTAAGATCAGCGAATAGGCGGTGAGTGGCAGTCAGCGCCCGCTAATACGCCCGCCAACCGGTCCGTCCCCGACAAATGCAGGTCCACCGAATCCTTCGGGTCCACTGAGGTCTCCGAGAGGGCAGTGGAAGGCGCCAATGCCAATGACCCTGCCAGTGTCAACCGGAGACCGACGAAAAGGTGCAGTTTCCGAAGACCACACCTTTCTGCGCCGCGCCGAGACCCTGCCTGTACGACGCGTCCTGCCTCGGTCGGACGCAGCGTGCGGCGCCGTTGCTCCTGCCTCGAGCGCACCAGCGCGCCTGCCGAGAACCACCGTCCAGTGGCTACCGCGCCCAAGACGGTGTTCTCCAGACCCATGCGCCAGCCGACTTTGGACGTCCACATCCGAGGACTTTGGTCAATCACCGGTGGGCTCCGGACTCGCACCAGCACACTCAGTCAAGCACCACATGCGCCGGCAGCTGCCTACGCCTGCGGACTCTGGCCGCTTCCCTCGGCGCGCAGCCGAGCGGACGTCAGCCTCTCGTGCTGGTCTACGATCTTCCGTCCGAGCATGGTGTTGTGCGCGCGCAGCGCCTGGATGCAGTCGGCCTGGCGGCGCAGCAGCCGTCTGACGTAGGCGGCGTCGTCCTTACTGGGGCGGTGCGAGCGGGACAGGGCGCGCGACGGCAGCTCGGCATCCTCATCCGCCACGTCCGGCGGGCAGCGGGCCGCGTTGAAGCGCAGCACCAGACCTGACCGACACCGAGCACGGGTGATGTCAGGATGGGGGAGGTTATAGCGCAGCACCAGACCTGACCGACACCGAGTAGGGTGATGTCAGGATGGGGGAGGTTATAGCGCAGCACCAGACCTGACCGACACCGAGTAGGGTGATGTCAGGATGGGGGAGGTTAAACCACAGCACCAGACCTGACCGACACCGAGTAGGGTGATGTCAGGATGGGGGGGGGGGGGGGGGGGTTAAACCACAGCACCAGACCTGACCGACACTGAGCGCGGGTGATGTCAGGATGGGGGCGGTTATAGCGCAGCACCAAGTGTGACAGGCCAGACTGACATAAAACACGTTTCAGCGCAGTATCCGGTATGGCGGGCACGGAGTCAGGGTTCAACCGGGATGGAACAGGCATCTATGCAGCACGAGACCTCGCCGACAGCAGGTGAGGTTAGTACGGGGCGGAACATTTACGGCACAACACCAGGTGTGGTGGACACAAGATGACAGTTGCGTCAAGGTGCAAGGGGTCAAAGTGCAGCATAATGGATGCAGACCTGATGGACGCGGGAGGAAAATACAAGTTGTGTTAGAAACGTCATGGTGCAACACAATACCTGACAGGTTCTGACTAATACTTAGTGTAGGTGTGTGTGGATTGGTTGGTGTGAATTGCGTTACATCAAAGCATGAAGGCTGACGAGCCTGGACTATCAATGGGGCTCGACTGTTCCGCTCACTGTTCTGCACCAAACCTGACTGGCGTCAAATGACGTTCATGTCAGCATGGGACAGATTGCAGCACTGCGCAAAGGCGCGACAAGCACGGATCAGCAAGCTATGCACATATCTGACTGACGAGCGCGATCAACGACAGTGGGAGCTGAACAAATCTGCTCGTAAGCACCACGTACAGACCTGCAAGGAACTGACCCGGTTCAATCTGCCGACCTCTGGCCATGGGCTGCTCCCGAATACTCACGCAGGTACTGCACCAGCACGGGCAGCAGCACGATGGTCTCCAGCGTGACCATCAACTGGACGTAGTGGAACGCCGAGAGCGGCCACTCGCCCGGCAGGGGCGACGGGTTCGGGTCGGACGGCGGCGGTAGCTCGCGCATTATCAGCGACAACAGCAGCAGCAGCACGTTTCCTGTCGGTAAAATCCCGAGGTGTCTAGGTGGTGGGCGCTGTGACCTCAGGAGAGTCTGGAGTGGAGGACTCTTATTGTCAGCAAGTCTGGGTTGACTGGGTCAGGGAGTCTGGGCTGACTGGGAACAGGTAGCCAGCGAAATCGGGCTGGTCTGTGGCTGGTGGTCAGGAAAGCCAGGCTGACCGGGGCCACGGAAGCCAGGCTCGTCTGCGACCTGTCATCAGGAACACCGGCCTGACCTGGGACGGATCGTAATAAAGCCGGGACTGATCTGGGTCACGTTTCCATCTGCTCGCTGTCTAAAAGGAGTCACATGCCAAACGCCCTTAACAAAATGCGATGGCTGTGGCTTCGGCTTTCGTTTAAAGATTTAAACCGTGTACTCTGATGCTCATTGCGTTGCCAGCTGACTCCGCTCCCGTGAATGGCTTCGACGTTGTGTGGAACTAACACAACTCCGTGGCTTTATGAAATTAGGCCCAGGGCCTCCTTTCCATATGCTACACTGATGTGTATGCTGTATTTCGATGAGCTGAGAACGATCGCATGGTCACGATCGTCACCATCAGTTGGTTAGGCGCCTGCTCTCCGATTCAACCATTAGAGGCGGGATGAGTTTACGCTACTTTGACGACAGCTACTATTTGCTGATGCGGCTAATGTATTGCGGCTACGACTTGCTTCTTTGCGACTGGGATGGTCTGTTGTCGGTGGCGCAGCCGCGCCAAAAGGTACGGTCACGTGGAGGGCAAGATGGACCGTGCCGAGCATCGAGGTACGTTAAAGAGAATGCCCCTCACTTGAAGATATTGAAGCCACCATCAGTTATCATGAGATAAGCCTCCCTATACCTAATGGCATATTTCAAGTGGAAAAGAAAGCGCAATTTCTTCCAAGTTACAGACAAGACAATTTCTCCGTTTAGAAAGTATTCTCCTCAATACGTCATTGTTTGACTACGTCATCCAACCTTGCACAACACTGATTGAGAGCTAACTGACGAGCGTTATACCTGGAAATCATGCTTACGAACGCCAGATATGAACGACTCGACACTGATATTTTTATTGATCTTAACCGCCGCATGGTTAATGGAATGGCAATATTTGAATGTCGCTATTATGGAGTCATGGATACCTGGGTGACCTTGAATAGTCTCCCAAAAAGTCTGCACACCTTCGCGGGCGTGTGGCTTAGAAACTAGAGGTGTTTAGTTTTTAAGAAAGGCAGGGCTGTGAACTGCACCGAATGATCTTCAAAATAGCTATTTGGCTATTTCAACAGCTATTTATATATAGCTAAATGACTATTTATATTTTTATTATTATATAATTATTATCATATAAATGGCTATTTCAGTTCAAAACCCCCTACAAATATCGAACATTCAATAGAACAAGAACATTCAATAGAACAAATATCGAACAAGTTTCAGCCGCGAAATTCCATTGCAAACATGCGACTTCACGATTGGTTGGCAACGCCACGGCTTACACAACAAGCACTGCTCAACGTGGGTGCTGGCTACCCGTACGTGGCCACGCAGAATTTCGAATGGCTCTGACCAGCTGGGCTTAAATCTTTCCTTGGTTAAGGGGAATGTCCCACATTTGAGGATACTGAATCAAGCATCAAAGATGATGAGAAAGTTCACTTATGACTGTCGGTATACTTTAAGTGGAAAAGACAGTTCACGACAACACAATTTCCCCATTTAGTAAATCTGCTCTTAAATACGTCATGGTCTGATTGCGTCATGCTACCTTGCATAACATTGACTCAGGGCCAATTAACAGCCGTCATGTCTGGCAATCGCGCTCACGAAAGCCAGATGTGATTGGCTCGACAATTTTATCTTTCTTGGCCTTGATCGACGCATGGACAATTAAATGGTAGGATTTTGATCACGTCACTGTGACGTCATGCATTCCAAGGTGACCTTGAAATACTCTCACACATCTTTGCGGCCTTTAAGCTCGGGAACCAAAGCGTTTTGGGTCTCAAAAAGGCATGGCCGCGAGCTGCATGGAAACGTCTTCAGTACAGCTTTGGCAGTTCACAAACTCTCTACAAATGTGGAGCACTCCCCTTGGCTTGAGTATCGACCACCGCCTGAGCTAGGCGTGAGCCGGATCACTTTTTTACCAAATGTATGAGTTATAATTGGTCTTTGCGTAGCGTCGAATGCCGGAAATTTCAGCAACCTATGCTGTTATTTTAGTAAACACCGATACACGTAACGAAATCACGCTTCTTGCCGAAAGATTGGTCAGACCGATTCGGTCATTTGTTTGAAACACCCGCTTACTCCGTTGTTAACACTTAACGACCTTTCGAAACTCACAATATATATATATATATATATATATATATAATATTGTATATAGTATATTGATATTGATATTGCATATAAGGCATATATATATATATATATATATATATATATATATATATATATATATATAAACACGTGGTGACGGGCTGAATATTGAATGAGGAAGCAGGCATCTGTATTTTATATGTAGGTATATCTTACAGCATGGGAAATGTCTGTAACAATATTATCTATAATCTATAAATATATAGCCATATAACAAATAAAGGTAATATCTTATACTAAGGGAAAACTCTGGCGTTTGGCCGCTTTAAAGTCGAGAGCTGTTCGTGACACACACCCCGAAACCAGGCATTTTTCTTGACGCATACGTACAGGGACCAGCAAGGTGGGTGTCCCTGGACGACGAACGGGGCGCCAGCAGTGCGACACCCGACCCGTACACCACGGGGTAGCAACGTCATCCGTCTTGTCCAGTCGCGCGTACGCGGCGCACCGCATCCCCTCCCCCACCCCCACCAGCCTACCTACCGACTGAGTAGACAACCGCCGGGAGCTTCCGATGCAGCCGTGACGCCTGGTGAAAATCGGAGTAGCCGTGGATGTATGAGTCGAAGTGCAGGCGGTGCAGAATCAGGTGCAGCACCTGTGACGGGCAGGCCAACGGTGAGGGCGTCGCCTGCTGGCAGCGCGGGCCAAACCACCAGCGGCACAGTCAACAGCACATAGTCAGCCGGCGTGTGCATTGGTTTTCTGTCTGACCTGCCGCCTTTCCAGCAGTTCGGCACACAACACAACAACGTACTCTGTTGCGGCTGTGTCACCCCGAGTCACGGCACTTGTCATTAACGGTATCACGCTGGCGTGGCAGTGTTCCACCACTGCGACGAGATTACAGCTGCCTTAGGTAATCCGGCCCTATCAGACCACGCGCTTGCCAGCAATGCCACCTGGCAATACAATAATGGAGAGAAAAAAAAAACGAAGAAACGGCCTGATCTTTTCCTGTTCATACAACGTACTGACGTCGTTGTCTTACGCGCATCATATCGTGAAAAGTATTCGGAGGTGGGGCAAAACTAGGACCAAGCAGCTCAACCTCCAAAAAATGTAGCTTCCTTATGGGATTTACGTCACTGCAATAAACAACCTAAGACGAGCTTGGGCTTCACTTTTTGCATCAAATAATCAAAAATGAATTAACAAAGTAGTCAGGGACATTTACTACCGCCCCAGGAACATTTAAAATACTTTAAGTTTTCTTTAATTTTGTTATGTTCCAGCACACACAATGGAGATTACAACGAAACTGGCGGCCCTTATCAACCATAAAGGGAGGGAGCTGGTTTCTTTGTTGTTCTTTTTTGTAAGGGCGCACGGGGCCTTCATAAAAGGATGGAGAAAGGCTGAAGGCTGAAGGAAGGCTGGAGAACGTTGAAGGAAGTTCGCCCTGTGTAAGGCTTAAGTTATTCCATGATTTCGTCATGTTCCAGCAAACAGAGAGAAGGCAATGGGGGATCCAAACCAACACTGAGCACCAAGCTCAACATTGCAGGAGGGGGCGGCGGGTACCCAGAAACGAGCAGATATCGACAGCCCGGCGCTGGTCGTCCTGCTGAGATGTGCCGCAAGACGGCCACCTCCCGCCCGAAACAATCCCGTACGATTCTTGGTACTGTGACCTTCCGAATGTCGAAGCATGTTAATAAACAGAACACCATCGGCTTTTTCCTTAAGCGACTTATTTATGTTGAATGTGTCTGCATGGGGACGTCTGATGGCACTTCGAGTACCGAGCTGGGGCTTGACCTTGCTTGATCTCATTCGACCCGAGGGTCATATAAGATCAAACAACGTCATATATTACCTAGGGGCCTCAAAATTGGACACAAATCAGTCATATACATGCCTACCTACCCTATGAATTTGGTGTCTCTAGTCCTCTCTTAAATTTTGGCAGCTCAGGGGAGGGGTAAAACTGCCCCCTCCCAACGCGTCGCATTCGACCGGTCACAAATGTGCATACACACAGGCCTCGAATCAACGGGATGCAAAAGCCGTCGGTTTCGAAACATAAAACATATGCTAGTTTTAGTTTTCAATGTCATGCTGGCATTTTGGAACGGGAAAATAAAAGCCCAGAACCAAACATTGTTTCAGTGTATTTTCAGGCCAGTAGCAAACATGTGGTGGTCTTATACGCTAACTGTGCCGTATATGTATTAATTAGATTTACAGAGTAAATTAGCTGCTGATGCAGCTTGAATTAAAAATTCAGAACTGTTACAACAAATCATTCATATTTTCGACATGCCGAAAAACAACTTTCCTTGAGCTGGCGGCTGAGATATCGAATCAGTTTGGTGAGGGAAGAGGCAAAAAGGAAGATGGGTTTTTATTGATGACGGGGAGTCTGGAGAGTGGCCAAGGCCGGAGTGGTACCACGCCGACTTGGCAGTGCCCGGCTTCAATGGATGGCATGCGGGAAAAGACATTTACATCATTCAGACAGTTACAAATAAAACAGGTGCGCTGCAAATAATGAAATGGCTTGAGCCTCGCTGCATTTGGACCGGGGGTTTGGTAAAGTCAAAGGCACAGGTGCAGGTTGGCTGGTCGATCCTATAAGAGGGAACTTTCAAAAATGATTGATATTAGCTTCTGCTATTCTTGTCTGTTGACCTCCTTTGTCACCGAGGTAAAACGCCTCTGATTTTACCTGTGAGATGTGCGTCTGAAAAAATCTAGTCACCGTTTTAGGCGCTTGCCATATACGGCATTCATCATCCTACCAGGCATGTCGTTTGTCACGCTCACGCTTACGCTCACGCTCACGCTCACGCTCACGCACGCACACACGCACGCGCACGCGCACGCACACTTGTCTAGCCTGCGGCGGCCACTGTCGCCTTTTGGCCCGTGTGGTGGTGGCCGGGCCAGAGATGGCGCTCGGTGAGACCAGCCGGTGGCGCGGCCCGAGCCCTACTCACCCCGCTGCAGATCCAGGTAACGATGTGCAGCAGCGTCTGTAGTGTGCATGTCTCCAGGCCGCAGTCGTCATATTTGCAGAAGAAGGGGAACGGCAGCAGCAGCACAGCCAGCAGCAGCGCCACCTATCAGGGCGGGCCCAGGCCGGTGAGCATGGTGGCTGGCTGGCAGTCATTAAATTAACATCACCTCTCGATGCAATGGTTATGCATTCTAAATGGCATCCTCACACATTTTCGTAGTCGTCTTCATGGTGTCGACTGTATGCGCGCAGCCGACGCTGAGCGGGGTAAAGCTACCTATCAATAAGGGCAATCACTGACACCCTGGCGGACGCTTTAGGAAATAGAAGAAGTAATTCCGGCCCTATTTAAGTACGTTGGCACAACCACTTTACGGCATACGTTTCCTTCTAGCCGATAGAATTCACGTAGTGAAAGCCTGCTTTTCACAGAGCTATGAATCGAATTATTACTGGCTAGTTCCCATGAATTCGGTACAAGGCGAAAGATCGTGTCACTGTCTTGAGCCGATCCTTTTTTAGAGAACTCTCGCCGCACACCACGTCAGACTTTTCGTGCACGGTACGCCGTGAATTCCCCGACTTTTTCGACATGTTGGTCTCAGTAGCTCAATCGGTGAAGTGCTTGACCCGTCATCAAGATGTGTGTTCGAAGCCGTGACGTTTTAGAACTGCTCTACCAGTTCGCTACATAAGATGCTGAATAGTTTGCTCTCAGCCAATGCGTGCTGTCAGTGTAATGAATTGTACAACTCCGTGAGAGTGTCTTGCAAACATTCTGGCCGTGCCATTCATTCAAATCATAAATACATTCGCTACTGTAGCACTTCCGCTACGCAGCCCTCAGTTGCCCGCTGCCAGATATTGAGTTTAAATGGAATGTTCCACATTTGTATGGGATTTTCAGCTGAAATAGCCGCCTGTAAGACCATTCGGTGCAGTTCACAGCCCTGCCTTTCTTAACACCTAATCATGCAGTTCCTGAGGTATACACCCACAAGAATACAGATTATTTCTACAGACTTTTTCAAGGCTTTTCAGAAATGCATGATGACATGGCAACGTCGTTCAAATCCTGCCATTCCGCAGCCTATGTGGCGGTCAAGGCAAAACATAATATTCTGTTGAGCCGTTCAAAACTGGCATCCGTGAGCTCGATTTCCAAATGCTGCGGATGTCAATTGGCAATCCGTGAATATTTAGCATTCTGCGTAATTTAAACCCGCGTCATCTTTGTGCCACATAATATAAAAAGTTGGACGTTCCCCCATTTATTACTAAAATAAGACTTGCCACTTCAAGCACCGTGCTTCCTTCTCTCAGTGAGTTTAAAGTACTGCAAGGGAGTGTTAGGGTGGCAGAGGATGTTGAAAAGCTGGTTTAGTTAAGCATGACCGCCTGAAAATGCACCATGGCCGTGGTGGAAACAATCTAAAACTACTGCCCGCCACATTACGGATGGATTGCGCACTGCGCCCTTACACGAAGCCATCAACACCAACTATCAACGAACAGGTGGAACGGGTGTCCGGGGGAACGGGGAACCGAACGGGAACAATACAGATCTCATACCGAAGTTGAGCAGACTAGAACCGAAGTTGTGGTGGTGGGGGTGGGGCCTGAATGGAGGCTCGTGATTTACTGTTTCCGGAAGTCTTCCAAAACAAATTCATACCGTCCAAAGATGAGACTGAGGCGTATATTTTCACCGTTTTGGGGCCACCCGCCGCACAGATTAACAGCTACAGCAGCACGACTCAGTACAGTACAGAACACAGCTCAGTAAAGTACAGTGCAGTTTTGTATAGTACAGTATAGTTCTCGCGTTTTTACCAAAAATTACGCCTATTACGTTCACAATAGGTAGCGTAGTCTGGTTTCTAATCTAGAGGAAGATGCGTCACCAGCCATGGGGCGATTCTCGGCCGGGCGAGGGCTTGTTGCTCAGACCACGTTCAGAAGTTAAGGTTTAGACTGGTAGGCGATGGGATGCCGGCTATTGCAGGAGCACTTATGCCAATCTAGCCCCTATTCAAATTTGTACATGGTTAATGTCGTTTGCTCTACGCAACGTCTCTTCACTAACGACACTTTGCTCTGCTCGGGAGCAGCTCGCCGCCGCTTCGCCGGCCTAGCGGCCGGCCGGCGGATACGGCCGAAAATCGCCAGCCCTCGCCGGCATCGTCAGGTGATATTAGGGGCTACGCTACATCAGGGGTTATGAGACACTGGGGGTTATGATACGTCAGGTGCTTTGATATATTAAGAGTTGCGGTACATAAGAGGTTACGAACATCGGGGATTACAATACGTTAGGCGTTATGAAACATTTCGGGTCATTACGCACTAGGTGTTCTGATACATCAGGTGCTGTGACATATTAGAATTTGCGAAACATTACGACTTGTGAAACATTAGAGATTTGATACATCAGGCCTTACGATACATTGGGTGTAGGGACACATTTGGGATTACAATATATTTGGAGGTCATGGACATAAGGATTTGTTATACGTCACGAAATGTAATGCCACGGCACAGATGGCGTTCAAATCTAGGCCCTCATGGAGCCAAAGGTACTAACCACGCAGTCATTACGTCCCCCCCCCCCCGCCCCCATTTTCACGGTCCACTGGGACATTATGTCTCCATCCCGACCTTCTCATACTGTCAGCTGCGTTCCAGTTACAGACGATAGAGGATTCAACGACGTCACAAAACTCAAAACTAAACAATTTACACTTTCAGCTGCACGCTACGCGTCGATAACAGAGAATTTACGAACGTTGCAGTTCTATGCTTCAATTCATTCGGTGGCAACAATCACCATGCCGTTGGCTCAAGCCGACCGTGTTTTTAGATTCAGCGCTGCAATTTTCACATGGCCATGAGGTGATGGGCACGTGGAGGTGACTCCGAAAGGTGAGCGTAAGGCTGTGTCGCGGCCCTCTGCGCGTGCAGCCGGCCAGCGCACACTCACCAGCAGCACCATGTGGACGGCTATGCAGGGTGTGACGCGCAGCGGCCGGAACATGGGCTCCAGGTCCGAGACGACCGAGTGGCGAGACGGCACATCCTCCGACGGCACCAGGCTCTCCTCGTCAGAGCGCGCCATGCTGGACGCCGAGCCAACGCTCGACTGAAACTGAGCCGTCCAACACGCGGTCACACCACGGCCGGCTCTGTCAGGCGGCGGGCACGAGGGACGGGCGTAGGTGGGGGGCTGACGACACGCGGCACCGGCGTTGAACGACGCCCTGGGACGGGCGGTACGGGATCCCCGCCGCACGTCCGTCACGAGAACACCCAAGGCGGCACGTGACCACAAGCGAACCGGCGCAGCCGCATGGAGCGTCTGAGATGGATTAGCGCTAAGCGATTAGGTGGTGTGGAGAAACACCTTTCACTATTGTGCCCCGCTGGACTTGGTGCTCCCCCCCCCCCCTTCACACACACACACACACAAATCAAGGCCGCGGATTTTGGCCACTTCATTCTCAGATGACTACACTCACAGATAAACCGCATAACGCATACCGAGTACTTCCTTCCCCGGCGACCACAGCGGCTAGAGTGATTCTGCCATGAAGCTTACGGTGGGTGATGTGCAAAACGTCCCATGAACAGTGAGCTAACACGAGGGTAAGAGTGGCGGCCCGGAACGTATACAGCGCCAGATGAAGGAAGTTCGACCAATGGGCGTCTGTGACAAGGCTACGCCTACTTGCACGGCCGCTGGAGGCAGGGAGAAGGCCGGTGCTGGCCAGCTGACGGACGGCGTCTCGAAACGCCTGCGGTGCTGCCACCGGGGGTGCCCTCAGCAATAGAAACCGTACCGCTTCACCATTTTACCCGCACCATTTCACCACTTTCCCCGTACCATTTCATCACACCCCACTTCGACTCGCACGCGATCGCCGTGCATATCGAGGGCTGGACTGTCTGGTACATTAACTGCAACGAGGAGGTCTTGCTCAGGTACGGCTAGAAACCACACGAAACTGTGCAGTTCATACCTAACAAAGATGACATGTCGCAGCAGCCAGCTCCGTTGCCAAAGGAAGACGCTACGGACGCCATGAATGAGACTGGCGGCAGGACGCGGCCTGCAATACGGTCACTCGGCCTACGGGCCTCCAGAACATTAGCAGCGCGTGCTCCCTGAACGCGGTGCTGCAATGCCTCAGCAATGCCAGCGTTGCAGCCCACTACCCGATGTTCCAGCTCCCTTAAACCGGATCCAAACACGGAAATGGTCACTGCCCATGGTGTCATCTCCAACGCTGCAGTCCAGGTGCTGAGCCGGCTGGGGAGCAGAGAGACTATGGCCTAGCGCCGACGCCTGACCGAATACTATTGCTGAATGTAAAAGAGTTCCTGCATTTTAAAGGAATGTTTCACATTTGAAAATATCGAAGCCAGCATCAGATATGATAAAATATGCTCATCTACAATTATTGGTCTAATTTTAGGTGGAAAAGAGTGCTACCTTTCAAAAACGCCATCGTGCCTTGTAATTCATCGTAACTGTCACCCTTTGATTACGTCATAGTATCTTGCACGACACTGACTGCGAGTCGATTGAAAATTGTTGTATCTGGAAATCGTGCTCAAGAACGCCAGATATGAGCGATTTGATACCTATGTGTTTTGGCCTTGACCACCGCGTGACTAATGGGATGCCAGGATTTAAATGACGTCAATGGCGTCATGGATGCCTGGTTGAGCTTGAGATAGTGTCCCCCCCCCCCAAAAAAAAAGTCTGCACATGCTCGCGGACGTATAGCCCAGAAATAAGAGGGGTTTAGGTCTTAAGACCTAAATCCCTCTAGAACGTCCTAACAGAGAAGCCAGGATTAAAAGTCAAAGTCAAGTCAAAACCCCATGTAAATGTGGAACACTCCCTTACAGATACATAGTGCGGCGCCATGGACACGATTACCAGAAAGCTTCCAGAAGTACTTCTGATGTCACACACTCAAATAGAGTGATGTGCGTTAAGGCCACCCAGAAGCAGAAGTAGTGGAGGGAGTCCAAATCGCACATGCACATGCATACCAACGGAAAGGCGAAGCCTGGTGGAGCGTAAGCGAACAAACAGTTATGTGACGGTGATTAAGGCGAGGTCGCACGGCCACAGCCTGGAGCTTGGACCGCAGTCCTTACCCTCCTGGCTACACGCTATGGTGAACCGCGAGGAGTACACCACCGTGTGTAACGTGCTCTCCGTCAACGCGTCGTTGCGAAACATAACACATTTCTTCCACGAGCAGCAATGTGCAGACCCTAGCTATCTCCTGCAGCGCTGCGGGTGTGGGAAAGAGCTTGCTGACGACAGCCTGGAGATCTAGGGCATTCGCCCTGATCTCCCCAAAGTTCCATTGTAAAAACGTCTATACAAGAGCGCATTGAACAGGCGGTAAAAAGTGACAAGCTAAAACCAGACACAGCTTAAAAGAACTAGGTTGCGCCAATTCCAGAGCCAGACGCCTCCGACCGAGAGCTGCGGCCCCGTGCCCCACTCTGAGACGAGTCCCGGCGCTCCCTCCGTCAACTGCAGGCGGAGGACCCAGTGGGATACATTTTATGCCGGCATACCCAGTCCGGGGTGGCCGCGGGGGGAGGGGATCCATCGATGGGCCTTTACCAGATGTCTGGGGACCAGTAAGGGCCTTAACCGGCCTTCTGCGTGATGAAGTGTTGTTTCGAGGGACGGGCGCTTTCTTTGACTGCCTCGGACAGACGAGTTGCCGCCTTGGTACCCTCCAGCTCCGCCCGGCACGCCAGGCAGGCTCCACCAGGCACGTCCGCTTGGTATCGCAGGCGCGCCCGTCTGCTTCGTAGCGCTCCATTGTCTCTGACGCTCGTCCACGCGCACTTGCCAGTAGCGTCGGAGGCGACGAAGGCAGTGACGTGTCCAGAGAGGAAGCAAACGGGGGCGACGGAGTGTCCGACGCGGGTGTCGGCGGAGGCCGCGGACCACAGCTGCGTCGGACTACCATCAACCCCTCCTTTCCAGGAGCGACAGCGGCGCAAGGGAGGCAGGCAGCGTGAGGGCTGCCAGGCGTGCCGGCGTCGCGGGGAGGGGGCGGGGAGGGGGGGGGGGGGCAAGGACCCCGACGGGCGCCGGCCGCCTGTCCCACCGCCACTACTGAGAGCCCGCAGGGTCTCGAGCGCGAAATAGGTTGTAGATCTGACATTTTATCGATGGTAGTGTGCTGTGGTGCTAAGCTTTTGGATTCTCTCCAAAGGACGTTCCGATGTGACTCACCTCGTTCAGTTAACCCACGCGAAATGGATGTTCCTGGCGTTATACAGAGAAATGGTTTCCTTCTCTTCCATGAGGGTCCGACAGCCCACGCCAAAGATCGTGTGGGATACCTGATCAGTACCCCAGTTCGCGCGCCATGGCTGCACAGCGTCACACTGGTCCCCTTCGTATTCAGACAAGGCACACTTGCCACAGGCTGGTCGGCTTCGGCAAAGTGGTTTCGTGTCACTGAAATGCTGGCACTGGGAGCCGCGCACAGGACTGAGAACGTTCACTCGAACTTTGCCGACGATGTGGCCAACGCGGATATGAGGTTATATATGACATGATGCATACATATATATATATATATATATATATATATATATATATATAATATGGCACATATGACGCCAGTTATGGTACCGGTAGTGTAGTGATTAACACGACTGCGTTAATCACTGCGCGTCTGGGAAATCAGAGGTACGGGGTACGATTCCCCGCGGTGCCCGCCCTTCCTGCCAGGGTGAGAGGCAGGCGACGCCATACAGCCTCAGCAGCTAGGTGCGTCCTAAACCCCTAATGACGCACACACACACAGACATGGCCATACATACACAGATATGATTTTTGCGCCACATCTCAGCAACTAGGGCATGTCAAACCGTGATAATGAATGGCTTTTACTAAGAATTATGGATTTTTCTCTTTTGCGCAATTAGTCACGTTTTGTGCCAAATCGCTGCACCCAGGGCACGGATGCACTAGGGAGTAGCATGCGTTAATGAGGAATGGAACGGACAATCACATGACTTGGATTGTGGCGTCACGTGTGCACGAGCCAGGAAATTGACTAAAAACGGCCGCTACCGACCGTTTTTCACTGTTCGATACAACGCAGTGTTGTTAAATGTAACGGCAGTGCGTGCTGTCATCATTCAAAAGGCTGACAGTTGGTGGAAGGGGCAAAAATCACCGACGACGTTTCGCGATCATTCGCCGATCCCGTGGAATAGGTTCGGCTGTGTTGCAGAGAGCGCAGGCGAAATGCTCTCTCTCCTGCCGCCAGAGACCGTCAGCACCTTGCGCGGCCTGCGGCCGACTCTTTTTCACACTTAACGCGATATCTCTAGGCCACTAGGGCACCTACAACCATGATTTCAACCGCAAAAGATGCATAATGAAAATTTTCAAATTTTGCATCAGTGCAGCGAAGCAGGCGCGTAAGCGCTTATGGAAACTAAAATCGCATTGTATACGGCTTCAATTTCCCGTCCCTCCCAAAAAAGGCCAGTCTTCCGAAGCGGGGACGGACCACGGTCAGTTGAGGGCGCGGAGCGGAAACAGGAGCTGACGGTGCCGACGCGACACAGCGTATGAGTTACTGAGTTTGTATATGCTATCACGACCAACGATGAAAAGCGAAACATGAGTGTGCCGGTGACAGCTACCTGCCTTATTGTGTATATTACTAAGGCATGCACACTATTACAAGGCACTTGTGTATCTTACTAAGGCACTAAGGCATGCCACCGTGTGCAGAGCCATAGCAGTTGAAAACGAAATGCAGGCCAAGTTTGAATGTCATGCAGTGTGCCTTTTCACCTGCCCCAGTTTTAGAGCCGTGGCAACATGCTGCTGACACAAAAATGAATTGATGCAATTGTAAATAATGAACAGCTAGCTAACAAAAGAAATGCACCTGGTTTGAACACCATCATAGATGAGTAATACTGTATGATGAAACTATGTGCTTGTTGTAAAATTAATCCCAAACTAAAAACTAGCTGTTTGGCAAAAATCAATGAGTCAGTACAGGCACTCACTGTTAACAAAATAGACCTATAATTTTGCATTTGTTGTGGCAGATACAAATTTTCTGTCATTTGTTGTGACAGCAAGTGTTGTGCAGCCCAGAGTGATCACACCATTCACAGCATTCACAGCTTACAGCAGCATGCTGAAAAGTAATAATAGGTTGCTTCAGTGAATGCAATGCTTTCACATCCACGCAGTGCAGCAGCTATGGCCGCTTCAATCCAAAGCATTGCTCACACAAGTAATAATGCCTGTAACAACAGGAAAATGTTGACTCACAAGCAATGCTAGCATGCACATAAAATTTGTTAAGGTGGTAGTATTTGCATGCACAATAATACAGTACATTACTTTTCTTAAGACAAATGCACTTTCCCAAAACCATATCATATCATAACTATGGCTGCTTGACTCTATATGCTGCTGTCCACAGCACTGACTGGGAATGAAACCCAAAATAGTTTTCCTGATACCAGATTTCAAAATAATATTCAGGAGTACTTAAATGAAAAACTGAGCATGGGGTTAGAGCCATGCAAGCCCTCCCTCTCTGTATGCAACAGCATCTGAGCACATGCCCACTACCTACACCTGGCTAAATGGCAAAGCATAGGGTGAACTCAAGCAGCATGGGTTCAACCCCACCTTTAAGACGAGCGTCCACAAGCGTCACCTTCTTGTCAGATGAGGCAGGCGACGTAACTTCAGCGGCCGAGTGCGTAGTTAGACCCAATAACACACGAGAGCATCCCGCACCCGCATTGCTATTACCCTCCATCACTCCATGCCCACCACGCAACGCAATTTTCAATTCAATACGTACCAATCGGTCCACGGCTCCCGACGGACGTTGCCCCGCAACAAAGCTTGGCGTACCCACATCCATTTCCGTTGATCTCTCCATTTACTTCCTTGCGGTAGGTGGGGAGGGGGATTATTTTGTTTTCAAGTCGCTAGAGACTTTTCCTGATAAAATATCTCAAGTTATGCTTGGGAGTTCCAGCGCGTATTTATTCCAGCACATATGGAAATTCCACTACTAGTAAAAAATTGTGGAAGGCTACCAGATTCGAAAAATTCTCTTACTTGCGCACGTAATACCAAACAAGCATTTGAAGCTTGCACACATCAAATGCGTTGTGTATGCTCGGCGCGCCTGACGTCATTCGAGCCTGCACGAAGGGGTCAAAAGATCGCAACGATGCTGGGCACTGTGAGCAAGGTTTGTTTAGTCACTCTTTTAGTCCTTAAGTTTAAGTTAACTCTTTTGACTCTTTAAGATAAGTCACTCTTTAAGTGGGTTCCTGGTTTGGTTTCCACTGGTCCTGATTTGTGACTAGGCTGTGACTTTGTCCTGGTCTGATGCAAAGCTGAGCTTGTATCATGAATTATGTTAGCAAGTTAAGCATAGGCATGATTATGTCTCTGAAGGTGCGGAGTGAGATAGGGGTCTGCCCAAAGGTTGGTTCTCCCTGGTGTCAACAACCTCTGGTCCTGATAGGGGTGGGTGGGGGGGGGGGGGGGGGCGGTGTCGAGCGACCCCCAAGGCTTCTTGAATATAACTCTCCGAATGTCGTGCAATCGCGCCCGAATTTTTGGTAACTCATGGGGCACCTATTTGTACGTATTTTGACACAAAACAACGCGCCCCTAGCTCTTGTGGTTTCGGAGCAGTGGCGGTTTCTGAAACAATACACGGCGATCTACGGTCGGCCGGCTGGGGGACAGAAAGGGAGTGGGACGGCAAGCGACGATGCCACGGAACGCGCGCGGGGGTATGGTATTGTTACATTAACGTATCCATACATGATCAACACACGGTTAAAATGCGTAAAACTATGTACCATTGCTCTCATAATTAAACAAGGAACGCGTCTGTCCGAATCTCATATTGATACGAGGCATGACCTCGTATGCATAATGCAGTAAACCTGCAATGGTGCGATTTCAAACATTCGTGATGTCACTTGATGCAGACAGTTCGCTGACGTTGGTTAGGTGCGTATGCACTATGTTCACCTTTAAATGACCAGTAACTCGAACGGCATGGTGCGCAAACGTCGTCGAGCCCAGCGAAGACGTGCAGGGGACGAGCTTCATGTGCTTATCCTTATCGACTTAGCGGGCCCCTGATCAGCCGCAGAGCCCTCTGACTGACATTTGAGTGCCCGGCCCTGCGGGTCGGGGCCCCGGAATGAGACCTCCGATGGGCCTTTCGGGCCCTTCGGTCCTCAAATCTGGCCCTTAATCGTAGGTTCTAGGCACGTGCTCCCTGTGCCCCCCCCCCCCCCCCCCCCCCCCCGCCTGTGCTTTTAGGACCCCGACAAGGACATAAGGCTCTCCATTCATATAAGAAATACCCACGACACAATGAAGAGGGCCCCTGAACGATCGAGAGCATTCGAATAAGGAACACCTAAGACCCAGTGTAGAGGGCCCCCGAAAAATCAAGCGTGCTCGAGCAGGTTTTCAGAAGGTCCCCGACAGGGGTGTTGGGCCCTGAATTCAAGTGCCCAATGTGCAGGGCCCCATGCAATCCAGTGTGCCCGAGCATTTTAACGGATGGGCCATTGGCAAGTGTGTAGGGTCCTTCATTGAAATACAAAGTACCGAAGACCCAATCTGGAGGGCCCCAACGACATGTGTGCCCAAGCAGGTTAACAGATGGAACCCGAAAAGAGCGTAAGGCCCAAGCGAGTGACAGAGACTTTGATGGGTACTAGACCAATGAAGAGGGCCCATGAGCGTATCGCGAGTTTGTCGGGAGCTTAACCGAGACCAACGTGGAGGGCCCCTGAGCAACCGGGAATATCTCGGCAGGTTTCCATAGAGGGCCTCCGGCTATAGCGTACAGAGCCTTTTGGGCGAACGGAGAGAATCCGTGGAAATTAACCAGTGGGCCCCGGAACTCCGGCAGGAAGGGCCCAGGAACAGCGCAGGGCCCTCCGGGCAAATTCAAAGAAATCAGGTGCAACCTGGAAGGCTACTTAACGATCGGAAGCATCCTGCAGGTAGACATTTAGGCACCCGGAAGCAGTAAGGGACCTCAGGATAGCCTAATTGGCCTTAAAATCCCCCAATTACGACCCTCTCAATCAGTGAGAATTACTTTTGTTTACTCGTGGGCCCTTCCTTTTCGCTTACGGCCGCTCTAGGTCACCAGGAAGCCTTAAGACGTCAAATTTTGGTGCGTCTGTGTTAGAAAATGCGGTGCGTATACACCCTTCAACTGTTGTTGGCTGACGGTCGCAGTTCATGATGGTCACTGCTCAGCAGCCAATCAAGCTTGAAGTAAATCAGCTGTCAGCATCCTGTTTTTTGGCATTACAATAACTACGCACTTGCGCCGAACGCGCTAAAGACGAGATCACCGGAATTCTTCCGATATATTCAGGATTGTGGCCTTCGTCGTCGTGGTTTGGTACGTGGTGAGGTGGGTGTTGTGGCGATGGGTTCCCGTTCTACGGGGTTAAACTGGACCTGAGTACCGATGTTTCATAGTATTAGTTATTCTACACCAGCAAGGCACTAAATTAAGCATGGTTAAATATATTTTTCAAAAGCTTTGCAAGATTACAAATGGGTTTATCAAGGATTTTGTCGGTGAAGCACAACAGGCATTGCAATCTCCCATGGGATTTGTTGTCTCTTGGAAAACACATGATGGGGACTTAGGGGATTTCCTGGAATGAGTTATCCCTACAAAAGGAAGGATATGGCTCCCTGAAACTGATATTTTGGTGTCATTTAGCTAAATGTTGAATATGGAGCATATCAGGAACTTTGTCAGGGTGAAGGATACATATTTTTTAAAAATATAAATATTGTGGCTGCCATCAATTAAGCTTGTGATGACCCTTGCCCAAGAAACCAGTCCAGGATTTTGTTTGGGGATTGCGGTGCCCATGGAAGTCTGGGCCGCTCAAAAACAAAACTTTCAGAACTGTCATGGTGGCCCAGGAATTTGGTGCCTCGTGTTATAAAAGGCTGTGTGGTCCTGACATGAAGGCTTTTGGTGTCTGTTCACAATAACATTTTGATGGCACAAAGGGGCACCAGAGCTTTGTGAGTGACCAGAGGGGATGGATGGCATAGTCATCAAAAGAATGAGACAATCAAATTTTAAAGTCCTGGAGCATTATGATGACACCATTCAATGAAAGATCTTTGTAAATCCCAGTGACTGGTACTTCTGGTAAGAACACAATGCCATCTCAAAATTGTGGTCTTTATGCAGCCTTCTGGAGCAGCCTCAAATCAGCACCATGTGTAGCACATGTGGTGCCCACTGTGACAATGAGGTGCTCTGACCAGAAAGTGGCAGTTTTTTCTTGAGTAGATAAGCTGTCTGAACCAAAGGAAGATGAACTATTGATATAGTATGATTTTCATATGCTATGAGATGCCTTTAAAGACACATGACTAAGCTACCAATGCCCATCTGCTGTCCTGTGCTCATCCTTGAAACATGAACTCTGGAGCATAAACACAGCTTGAAATGTTTGTTGCTTTCAGTAGAATTTTTGGCAGTAGAACAGCTTTTACCTGTGTCTGGGAAATGGGATGGGTAAAGTTCATGAGTTGCCCCCTCACCCAACATCCCAATGAGAAATGCTTTGCTCCACCCCTGTATTGACTCCATGTCCAGAAATTGTTGGCTAGCATGTATCAAACTCACCTCTCAGATTTATAGCCAGCAGCTCTGGTATTGTAGTTAACTCTGAAAATGTTTTGTGTGACATGTTTCTTGGCAGCCTGGTTGTCTGGTCTCTAACTAGATTTTATTCTGCTTCCAGGTCAGTTATGCTAAAATTTGCACCTCTCACAGTACTAAGCACAGTCTCAAGTGGGGTTTTGCTGGTTGTTCCATATCTGTGTGTGGCTGTGATATCAAGTGTTGTGTATGTGCATATCATAATGAAGCTCACAGTTGACCTGTGGAAATGCATTCACTTACAGCAAAATCATTCTCTAAATTGAAACTTCTGGAAGGCTGTAGGAGATGTATTTAGTTCATCTAGTATGATTTGGTTTGAGTGTTTTTACTGTACATTACAACAGCATGCAAAAGCCATCTCATACTTACTCTGGGCAGGGAGGCAAGTGTAATGAAATGACATATTGGTCAGGGCAGCACTAGCCCATACTTTTAGCTGATAAGATGAAAGAAGTAAATTATAGGTGAAATATTTTAAAAATATAGATTAGGTAAACCACATTGATTTAGGTTGATTTTTATGTCTCTGAATCAATGGCCAGGATCATTATGGTTTCTGTTATGACTTGGGTACTCACCCTTTTTTCTGGCCTAGGTGGCTGTTTGGTATTCAAATAGCTCCTGTGATTATTATATATTAGTGTTCACTAATTATTTTTTAAATGTATTAATACCAGATGCAGTTGGTGAAACAGTTATATTAGTATTCATATTTCATTAGTTGTAGTTGGTGAAAAGGCCTTGCCTCTAAAGCCAGCAGCTCTAAGAAGTGGATGGTAAACAATGATTATTTATGTTCTCTCAGTGGTTTCTGCAGTAGTGTTGACTGTTAATGGGCTGTGCTCATTTCATAATGCTGGATCGAGTTTGCATAAGGTTTGTTTTCTTCATGCATCTCAAATGAAATCAAGGAGCTTAATGGTGTTCCAGGTGATGCTGCATGAAAGATTTGACCAGAATAGACATGATTAGTATTATCATGACTTTTAATCAACACACAAATAACATCCACAGATCCTAACTCGAGATACCTTGATAACTGCTTCCACCATCTGTAGGATGACATCTTCTTCTGGTGTCCTGTCATCCCATAGCAAGAGATGTGTGATCCTCTTATCCATAGAATGGTGTCAGTTTGCTGCTGGCTCACCCATCTCAGCTGCAGCTTATAACAAAAGCAATGGCCCTGTGCTGAAGCCTATATAATCTGGCTTGTAACTTCTGCCC